GAGATCTGCGATGGCGTCAGAGATGTGAGGACTTTGTGAGTACTTGAAAACTTTATCAACGGAAAGTTCGTTACTTGCAGCACAGGTGGCCCAAACTCATTACATGAACGCGGACGTGACTCTTGCTCGCGAGCGGTGTTGTGTTACAAACGGTACAAAGGCTTGTATGGGATCGATCGGTTTTTCTTAAAAGAGATAAAAAATGTTGTTTTTAAATAATATCGACGTACCTTATTGCCTTGTTGTATTCTTTGTTGTTTGCCCGCGTCTCAGGCCGTTTTGAAGGGTTTTCGGCGAGTTAGCGCTATTTTGGCTGCCGCGGGCAAACAACAAAGAATACAACAAGGCAATAAGGTACGTCGATTTTATTTAAAAACATAACATTTTTTATCTCTTTTAAGAAAACCGATCGATCCCATACAAGCCTTTGTAAATAACCGTTTGTAACACAACACCGCTCGCAAGCAAGAGTCACGTCCGCGTTCATGTAATGAGTTTGGGCCACCTGTGCTTGCAGTGCAAAAACTACTTTGACAGCTACATGTCAGGCTAACGACATGTATAATACATTAACCGCCGGGGCAGGGAAAGGAAAGGAAATGTTACGGTAAAGTTTTCTAGCTTCTAGTCCTTTCATAATGAAATACGAAATAACGTGTTGGTGGGAAAGTTTCGAGTTGGACTGAACTAAAACTATATACTACGGATCCGGTAAGACCGGAGGCAACATTTTCAAACAGAAAAAGCATGGAACTTCATAAAAACGCAGTTTTGTATTGAACCATTTTTAAAGGGTTTGTGTCATTGTGTTAAAAGATTTCGACAAATCATAAGAGTTGAAAACAATGGTCAAGAAAAGTTTGCAATTTTTCATGTTCCTCACATAGGATTTCTGTGTTACTTACTAGACGGCAGACGAGATTTTGTTATAGGAAGTTGTTTAGAAAACAAAGAATTTTAAAATATACATGCAGCTTTTGAAGAGATTTCGTAAAATTTGATGTTTAAACCAATCAGAGGTGTAGTAGAGACAATAGTAGGCTCGATTTCCTCCGTCTCCCAGTTCCGGTCTTTGATCCTCCCAGGGTGAGGGCTCATTTTCACGAACAGCGGCTGGTAATCGAGCCTAAGACAATAGTAAAGTAAGCATCTTTTTGCATTCCGACGTGTTCATTGCGTTTGCTTTTTCTCCGGGGAGGAGGGAGGGGAGGGGTGGGTTTCCCATATGAAAGGGTCGGGGATGCTCGTCGTCTAGCTTAGGGGTGTAAATTTCGGATTTTGATCTAACTTAGGGTGTTCTCGGCAAAACGCCATTATATTTAGCCGTAAAGGTCTCTTTTAGGATTAAAACAACGTATGGGTAAAGGTTAAAGTATTCCATGATAATGTCTTTGCCATGAATAATTAAAACTCGCTGTGTTTTAAAATGGTTAGGGGTCAAAAATGGTTGGGCCACGCCCAGATTGGTCTCGGGTTTAATTAAAAACTTCCGACGACTCCTCCCCTTTGTTGAGTAACCCCCCCGGCTCTCATATGGTAAAAACCGGGGATGGTAAATGAAGATGCACGTCGTCCCGCCTCAAGTAGGATTTTCAGGTAGGAATAGCCTGCATAGCAGGCACTTGGAAGTAGTGGGCGCAAGAAAGAACGGTGCGCGAGGGAGACACGCGAGTTAATGAGGGAGCACGACTGAGCGGCGAGGGGAAAATGCGCGCAAAGCGTGCGCGAACGAGCGGCGAAGTGGTTGTTCAAGCTGTTTCCACCCCAATCTCCTTGCAGTTTCTCTGCCCTCACCCACCTTTATTATTTAGCGCGCCCAACCAAAATCGCCATGCTACGCAGGCTACACTTAGGCTAGCGACTTTGTAGCTCATGAACACGGCTGGGTTGTAATTCCGATATTCTCGAAAACAAGAAAAAAAACTACAATCTCCAGATAAATGCGTATAGCAAAGCAAACTGCTCCTGATCCTGATGTCGCCTAATTTGGGCCTTGGATAGAACGAGAAGTTCGCACGCAAAACTCAATACCAAGTGCCGAGCAAACACTAGTCCCTAATTCATGGCGCTAGGGGAAGCTCCAAGTTCATTGTCCGTCAGTGCCCTAAGGTGTATCGAGGAGTTCAAATAGTTTAAACGGTAAAACGCACGCGAATTGAAAACACATTTCCATCACACTCGGCCGACGGAAAGAAAAACTCGACTGCGAAGTGAGTCGAAAATGTCTAACTCTTTTTTTATAATATTTTGAAGTTAATGGTGAGATTCGCATCGATTTAAATTTCTCTGTTAAGCCCGGCACCTCCACGGTCGAAATTCGTCGCCAATTAAGCATTTGTTGACCACTACCAAACGTAACGGCCGAAAAAACTCGTACGGTAACTCGAGGTTCAACTCGTATGCATCTGTACCTTTAACTATTCCAACTCGAAGTCGAACTCGAATCTTTATCGCTGCCTTTAAATCGCGCTTGCTGGATGGGTGAAGACACAAAGTTAAGTAGAAGAATGACAAGATCATGCACAAATTTAATGATAATTTCTTAGCAAGATACAGACACAGACAAAAGCAAGGCATGTAGGCCACACTGAAAACAACTGTAGACTCTAGGATGTTATAAAAGTCATCAAACCTTGTACTAGTAATTATTAATAAATTGAGTTCATCAATTTTAATCTGTCTATTTCCCTCAGGTTAGTCTCAGGTCTTGAAAGGCTTTGAAAAGAACTTACGAAATTCCTAAAGGTTCTATTTTTCAGCTTCCGAGTCTTCTTAACCCTTATCTTTTGAAATTTAGTCCTCTAAAAAGGCGTGTGTTGCATTTAACAGAAGGAAATCAGCTGGGAAATATTAAAATGAAAAGCACTAGAATGGGAAGACTGGTCTTGTTATATCAGCCGTCTCATCCCCCTAACCTATGGGGGTACGGGAGAGGAGTGTCACTTCTCCCCCTCGCCACCACGGGTAAGGGCTTGGAGACGGCTGACTTTGACCTGATTTAGCAACAGGACGGAAACGTCAGTTGACGACGGGAAAGCGCGCGGAAAGGGCTTAACACGACTTCCAGTGCCCAATTTGCCCCTCTGCCATTGGTCAAGCCAGTTGTTTGATGCAGGAGCCCATCCAATGGGCTCCTGTTTAATGGGACTATGGGAAAACATGCTTTGAATGAAACCCGCAACGCCTTCTGGGTTCAGTTGGGTTAATAATTAACAGCACTCGTTTTCAGAGAAGACCGCTTAATAAACGATTGTTATGACTTGGCTTGCCACAGCCAGCACTGTAATAAAACAGCACAATCACCACATCAGTGATTGGATAGAAAATAACACAAAGATTTGGCAATTGTATTTAACTGCCGGGGCAGTTCTCTCGAACTGAAATGACCGCGGTACTCGAGCTTATTGATTATAGTGGTTAGCATACAAGATGTTGTAAATCTTACAGTCGCATTTCTCAGTTAAGATCAGCTAAAC